AGCACATGGCAATTTGCAGACAGCGATATCACAAAACCCACCATCTACGCTACGGATTAGAGCTACGTCGGCCAAAAGCAAGGCTTGGGTCTCCTCCCAGGACACCTCTCGGCATATCGGCGAAGCAAGCGAGGGAGTGGATGTCAACCAGGAATACTCCAACTCAGGATACGGAGACTGTGAGATCGGAAAGTAAAGTGATAATTCAGCCTTCTAGAGCACGACGCTTCCCCATCCAATCCTCTACAACCCGAACAATGCTATACCGAATGTTGGCGATCTTGGTCTTGGCCAAACATTCACAAGATCTCAAATTCCTCCACCGGGGTCATCATCCTCAATCCGTGCCCCAAAACCCCACCTATCCGACCCTGTACAAGACTGCGCCAAATGCATCTTCAATCCTCTTTCCAGTGGCCGTCTCCTCCGAGTCTCGTCCTGCCGTTACCCTTGAGGAAACTCAAGGTGGTCCTCTCTTCCTCGTCGATACCCAGCCCTGTGCCCAAAGGCCCCATATGAACACACCTGTACAAGATGGCGCCACACGCGACATGTAGCCTTCCTTTCTCATGTTGAAGCTCTGCAGTTCCATGCTCCGCCACCTGTTCCTCCTGTCGTTTCCCTGCCGTTGCCCTCGAGTCTCCCCAAGGTGGTCCTCTCTTCCTGGTCAATTTCCAACAATGGCACCCCAAATTACTCATCTATCCACCTCTGTACAAAAATGCATCAAATATCTCGTCAAGCCACGCTTCATCAATAACCTGCAGCCTATGAAGCGTCTTCCCAGACGTCGTCATGAAAGACGCTCGTCCTGCGGTCACCCCCTCGCTTGCATCGTCATCCTTCCCCATTCCCAAAGTCATCAACTCCAAGGTCTCTGTCGCAACGCAGTAATCAAACCCTGGAGCTTGCAACGTCCTGTTGAGAATCATCGGCTGGCCTCCAAACAACCACTTCTCCAATGCCCACCCCATCTCCACGAATCCGTCCTCTTCCCACGCCATCTCGCTCCATGGACATCGAGCCGCGGCGCAAATAGCGTGCGCGAGCTCGTGCACGATCGTAGCAGCGATGATGAAAATTCGTCGCAGTACGTCATGTTTTGCTCCTCCTGCGAAATCGATCCCATCGAGATATTTCGCGTTCAGCCTGATGATGGCACTTCCTGGGTGAAAGCGATCCTTTCCTTTCAACGGCTCTGGAATTGTCTCGCCGAAACAATCACAGCCGGTTTGCATCTCGTGACCACACTCGAGAACGATGTTCTCGAGCGATCGCAGTCGAGCTCTTGTCTTTTCGTGGTCGGCTGGTGAGAGTTCGGTATACTTGTCATTCCCCATACGGCCGAAGATAACCAGTCCGGTCTGAGGGTCCGCGAGGCCACCATGCTCGAAGAGTGCATGCCAGAAGACCATCGCGCGGCGGCTCTCAAAAAAGTGAGACGCCAGCACGATGGATGGCAGCAGTCGAACGTAATCCGAGTCATCCATGGCGATCCAGCGGCGACGTCTCAGGAGAGGCGTGATGTAGGCATTTGCGCTGCCGTACAACAGCATGGCGACGTCGTATGGCGTGTCGGCGGAGATGATGTGGCGGTTGATCAACATCTCCCAGTATTCGCGGTCCTTCTGTGCTTCCGTCGTCTTCTGGTATTCGTCCTTATCGTCCAGGACGCTCTTGGATGGCCCGGAGAGGCACATGGCCGCGAAAAGTCTGGTGATGTCTTCCATCTTGTCGGTCTCTCTGCGAGAGTTCTGCCTTCGATAGTCTTGGTATGCGTAAACGCAGTGGCGTCGAAAGGCTTGCTGTCTCTGAGAGTTCTGGTCGATCGCTTTGTGAGAGTTGTGTTGACTCTGAGTCGTGTGGCTGTCGCTTTGGATGTGAACTCGAAATGTGAATGTTCGTGTTCGGTGCTCGACATGTTGAGGGGATAGGTGCCGTATATATGGATGCACTCCGAGTGTGAAATCTCTGCTTCTAAGGACTTGTTACTTTAAGGACAAACCATGGAAGTGATTGAGGCCACGATCACGTGCCAAGACTTTCACATGCGTAGCCATTCACTTCACCACTCAAATGACCTTTGAGTCGGGTGAGCTCTCTCAAGACCATCGCTAAGAACTACACCCCTCTCTGAGGATCTGGACCGTTCCTCGCTCACGAGGTTGGGAACGAGCCGAGCCCCGTGAGAACAATCGCGCGAAGGCAAAAAGTATACTTTTCTCTGGAGAGGTAGACGCTTCCACGCTTACGAGGTTGACCGCGAGCTAAACATTCGTAGGAAAGACCGCAAGAAGTGAGAAGGCCGGGCGTATACTTTCTCTGCAGAGATGGAAGCTTCCACGCTTACGAGGTTGGCTATGGACCGAGCGTTTCCTGAGCATAATCGCGAGAAGCATTTCCTTTCTCTCAGAAAGCGAAAGGTACCTCTGCCTCTTAGCATGACGAAGAACCAAAAAGGCGCCAAAAAGAGCTTTCTGAGACACGCTGGTACGTTTACATCCGATCCTGAGGACCTCGTCGACCGTTTTCGGCCTTCTGTGGTGGCCTCAATGCGTAGTGGGGTCGAAGTGCCGCGAGGGCTTCCGCTAGAAAAGCTTGTCCGTAAACACGATGGGTTGTATAAGATTGCAGAATAGAGGTTTGATATGAGAAGAAAACGAAAACGCAATAGCAAGTTGGATGATTCTGAAGCATGAAATTTGCTGTATGACAGGATACTTCTCCCAACGCGCGTTGCCGGGATTGGCCGCTCTGCATCTTATTTCACCACGAGCCACCTCTCAGCTTTGGCGCAAGAAAGCAGACCTTTGTAGGAAAAGAAAGAAAAGTGCATGCTCATCGGCTTGTGTCCGGGCACAACTGTGTCGTGGAAGTTGGTGGTAATTGCCACTCCTTTCCAATACGGATTGCGACCATCCTTTCGCCATGTTCATTCAGCCCGTTCCAGAATCTCGAGATCCAGGGCTTCTGGCCTTACTGGCGGAAGTATTGTCGGTGCTTATCGCAACTCTCTTCGACAATGGCTTTGACCTCAGCCATGACCACTCGAACGTCTTTTTCCACGTTGCGGAGGCCCCATGGGCATCGATGGAAGGAAAGCCGGTCCGTGAATTTTGCTCCCTGACAAAGCAACATTCGGCGCCAGCTTCCGTTGCGCCAGTGCTTGATGGGATAGACTCGCATTGCGATTCGCGTCAGGAACCGTGTGTGTAATGGTCGTCTCACACAAATGACGATTTCCCCTGAGCTATGCCTGCAGTCCCGACCTATTTCACATTGACTAACTCTGTGAGGGAACAAGGGATTCCAGCGGATGACCTCGTTGGAAGTGTCGGGCTGTGGTGGCTCAGCTTGGAAGAACAGCTTCCTCTGGAGTGCGTGGGAGCGATTGATGACGTGGTCCCAGGTCTTGTTGGTGCGTTGAAGACGGAGAATCGTGCCGTTATCTGCTTGAAGCAAGATCTGCTCAAGCAGCTCGTATGTTCCAAAGACCACGGAAGCGGCAGTAAGCTCGATCTTCAGCTCGTCCGTGGTAAGTAGACTGTCGCGACGGTCGGCATGATTCGTTCCTGGGTCGACGCTCTCTCCCAAAGTTACACTATTGCCAGTTGCGGGTTCACTGGGAAGATCAGCATCAAAGTAGCTCGTAAAAAGGAAGGAGGATGCTCATACCGGGAGCCTTCACACTCAGTGTCGCTCACACCAGCGGCTTCAAGACGTTCCTTAAAGAAGGAGTCGCCATACTCTTCACAAGCGGCGGACTGGTGTTGGTCGGAAGTCCTGCTTGCCAACATCAGCTCATGAAAGAGAAGAACAAGAAACGTAGAAGAGGAGGGTCCTACTCCTGGCTGAGTTCCCTTGTCGAAAGTGGCTGTTGATGATGCAGCGGCATCTTGCAGTCGAGCGTTCAGCGACAGGCTTCCTTGACTGATTGCTGGAGCAAGGTGCAAAGTAATGATTATCGTTATGTAGATAGATGCTTGGTGAGATCTTGGTGGAGGAGGTGGTGGTATGATTGCAAAAAAATTGCTCCAAGTTAAGGTCAGGCTAAGGCTCCAGTCTCATGAGCTATTCAAGTGAGTTTCGATGCATGTGCAGAGTGAGTTTTCATGTGCAAGCGTACCAACATCATGTAAGTCTGCTGCGGCATCTTTATGGGTCTTGTCTGCGAACTGAGGCAACGTCAAGGCTGCAGTCTGGTGGACTATCATGTGCGAAATTACTTGCATTCGATCGAGGTCTGGTGCCTGCGGAAGTAAGTGTTCACATGCAAGCTCAAGTGAGCTGGGAGCATATTCAGGGTCATGGAAGATCCCTTGTGATGTTCAGATTTGGTGGTCAGCAGTGGATCAGGACGTAGGTAGCAACGCGCTTCAGATTGCGACCCTCAGCATGATAAATGCATCGCGTTAGACTGTGATCACTCTGGGATATCATTAGCTTCGTCTCTATGCAACACATCAATTACTCTGTACAGTGCGCCCCAAAATTACGCCAACACGGCCAAAAGCACGACGGCCAAGACAATGGCGAGGATGATTAACAAACAGCACGCTTTCCCTCTTGCGCTCTTCTGATGTCTCGCAGCTGTCCTCAGTTGTTGATCCGCGTTCCTTGTGTCATCCCTCGTCTGCGTTACGTTCTCCGAAATGATATCCAGTTGCCCGCCTTGATCATGTATCATGGTCGCCACATCCCGGAACAGCTCATTCAACTCCGACACGCTGCTCTCAATATTCCTTATCTCCGACTCTCGCTCAATGATCAAACTTTCCTGGAAGTCGACCTCATTCTGGTCCGCCAGCCGTAACTGTTCCTGCTGCTGCAATTGCTGTTGTTGCCCGGTCAATTGTGTGCCACCGGGAGATGTGACGCCCTCCGAGTCCAAAGCAGCTTTGGCGGCGGACTGTGATGCGCGCTGCTTTTCTAGTGCGCTGCGCTGGAGGGTTTGGAATTCTTCGAGAGACGCTCGGAATTCGGTTGCCAATTTCCCAGCGGTGTACTTTTGAGTGGGATTCAGGTCATGCCAGCTCTGGACCTTCTTCAGTCCCTCGCCAACTTCCTTGAAGGCATCTTGTGTTTCGGAGAGCAGATCCTGTAGCCGCTCCCGCACGCGATCTGTCTCGCGTCTTGTGCCGAGTAGTCCTATTTGACTGCTGAGGCGAGAGATGTTGGATGTCAAGGAGAAGAGCTTGTTGGAGATCCCATCGGTATAGCGCTGAAACTCTGGGTCGTCGGCGTATTGTGGGTCGTCATTGCGACGCCACGTCGTCGGCTGAGATTCGAGATTTGAGGAGTCGTTGAAGGACATGGTTGCGACGGCGGTGGAGGAGGATTGTGCTGCCGTCGACGTGTGTATACAGTGCACCAGATGGCGATGCCTGGTGGACGCAGCGCATGTGACGTGCCTGCCGATCGCTGCGAAAGCTTGTCTGGGGTGCTGTGTTTTGGAGCACGTGCCATCGCGCGGGTTTCGTCTCTCTGCACAGCAACCAACACTAACTACCAAAAATCCTGTTCGTTCGCAACAAGATTCTCGCTGCCTGGCACGCGCGATATCACCGTCGCTCCTTGATTCCGCTCCGCTCACCATGATCTGAACACGCTCCGCCCCACGCCGACTCTCCGCAATGGCAACGACACTCACTTTGACCATGGCCGACAAAGGCCGCAGCAACCTCTTCGCTGCACCGCCCGCGCCTGTTGTCCAGCAAGGGCGCGTCAAAGCCTACAAGGACTTCCTCACCCCCGCCTTCCACCGTCGATTCTGCTCCGCCGCCGGCCTCGCCCTCCTCGTCTGCCTCGCCGACTCCTGGTGGCTGTCCAACTCGAGACATTTCCTCTGGTCATGGTTTCCACTCGGGCCCGCGGGCATTCGCGCCACGCTTCTTTTTCTTCCATGCCTGATGGTTTTCATTGTCCGTCTGGCGAACATGCATCTTGGAGCCCGAACCAGCGCGAGCTCAGCTCAAGCTGTCTATGAGATGGTGGGCACAAAGGGTTTGGCCAAGACCCTCTCCATCGTGTTCTGGTACTGGACGAGCGCCTTCATGTTTGGCGAGATCTACATCTGGACGCGATCGAACGATGCCGAACTGAGCCTGGTCGACGTTGGCAAAGAGTGGGAACGTCCACAACTGAATGAGAATTCAATAGCCTTGCGTTGTTTGTTTGTCAGCTTGGCCATTTCTCAGACCTTCCTCCACATCTGGCGAGACTACGATCAGGTGCGAATTGGAGACGATACCAAACAGCAGGTGTACGATGTTGCTGCGCTGAAGGAAGTGCTTGGACCGAACGCCAAATGGCTCCCAGAAGCGCTCTTGCAAATGGTCGCCCGAACGAGGACCATCGTGTCAAGATCCTTCAACCTCACTATTGTCGCCGTATGCATTCTACCTATCCCGCTGTACTATGGCCTCCTGCGACGCATCGCCTGGAGCCTGACCTTCAGCTTTGCTCGAATTTTCTACTCGCAGCTGCAATCTGACGACAGACCGACTGGCTTATCACACCTTGGCCGCCTCACTAGACAGGCCTCCTTCTCTTCCTTCATGCTCGTCTCACTGTGGGAAGTCTCCAACGCTGCCTTTGATATCTTCACCGCTCAACCGCCGCTGAGGAAGGGTCAGGCATTGACCAGCGAGATCAAGGATGCAAGGGGCGTGATACTTCACAAAAGTAAGGACCCGAATGGTAGTCTACTGACTGGTCTGAAGAGCAAGCGGGAAACAAATAAGAGCTTTGCATTATGGGAGCTGTATCTGATCACCACGCAATTCGAGAGTCGAAGAAAGACGATATACACTGAGGTCGATCGTGCAGGAGGGAGCACGTGGTCGCAGGTATGCAACCTCTGCTTGGCCGAGATTTCGGGAGTACAACAACGCATTGAAGAGGAAATTGCTCCAGCAGAGTACAAAAAGAAGCTGCAAGCAGACAAGATTCACGAAGTGCAGCCGCCAGTCATGCCAAGGCCCGAGGATGACACAGCGATGAAGAGAATCGCAGATCGACAGGTCATACAGGATGGTATGCTTGAGACCAGGCAGAAGCCGGACTTTTACAACACGGTCGGCAACCTGGCACGTTCAATTGGGCAACAACCAGGTGCTCAGAATCCTATCCTTCCACGAGCCCAGAGGGCCATCGAATGGAGCCGAGATCGGGTTGTGCCTCAAGAGTATCAAGAGCGCCTTCGACCCCAACAGCTCGAGAAACAGGCCAGCGGCAAGCTAATTGAGCTTCTCAAGACTCCCGTAGGCATTTCCTTTCGCCAGACCTTTGCCAAGAGAGTCAATTCTGTGGTCTTTGGCGCACCTATCAGCCAGCAGACGAATATCACACATGCGGCCCAGTCGCTTAGTCAGTTGGCTGTGCTCTCACTGAAAGAAGATGATTTCGGTCTGGCACAGAAGGATATCGCAACCATCATGCGCACATTCACATCTGTCATTACGACGATCGAGAAGTTCGTCAAAGAATTGGCACCGCACTGGACAGACGTGGAATTTCTGGACGCAAGGGATCGGAACGTGAAAGAGGTCGACGAGCTGCTTGATGTGCTGAAGAAGGGTCTGGAAGAGATATTGCTTGCTTTCGGCGAGTACGCGGAGACACTCCAACTCAGCAGGAAAGAGGTGCGTGAGGCACGGGAGGCGAGTACAAAAGCCTACAAACATCCTGTTCCTGAGATAGAGCAAGCCCGAACGACGAAACAGCCTCCGAGACCGCAGGAACAACCTCGAGAACAAAGGCGGGTAGAGCAGCGACCCGAGATGAGAGAACGGCGGCGACAGCAGCAGCGATAGACTTTGCTGTTACTCTACATCCCGTCTTCTCAAAGCGAAATTACGTATGATACCAATGAATGTACTTTTCAACACTCCATTCGATCTCTGAACCTTGTTACTACGGAATTGAGAGTGAAGATATGTGGTGCGCCGTGCTCATCTCTATCCAACCCAGCATGGCCATGACTTTGTCATCGTTCTGTCCCAGCGATCAGTCAGTCCATCAGACCTTCACCCACAGCCCAGCCTTCTTCGTCCACCTCGCCATACCCAACGACACTCCACCAGCTAGCAAGGCCGCACCCGCGAAAGCTGCCAGCGCAAAGTATCCCCTCTCGACCAACTCTCCCGCAATCGGCGGCCCAAACAGTCCCGTAAGACTGACACTCGCCAACGTCAACCCAACCGCAGTCCCCCTCAACTCCGGCCTCTCCGTCGTCAAAACCGTCGCACAAGCCAACTGTAAGCTCAAAATTGCCCCGGACGTAAACCCATACGCGACTACCCAAACTACAAGTCCCGCAGAACTTGTCGCCGTGGTCCAGCAGAACGTCACAACTCCCGAGATGGTCGCAGATATGGCGAGAGTGTTGAAGTGACCGAGATAGTGATCTGCGAGGAACCCGGGGATGACTCGACCACACATCGAAGCTGCATTGAGGATGGAAACGAGGTGGAAGGCGAAATCCTCCGATTTGCGGAGCGAGGTGGCGGCGTAGACTGGGATGTAGTAGAGAGGGGTGAAGAAGCCAAAGTAGGCGATTGCGAGGCCGATGCAGAGGAGGATGAAGGGTGGTTGTTTGAGAGGGGTGAGATCTTTCTTGGCTTTCTTGGTCGTATCGGCTTCTCCTTTCTCTTGTTCGGCGGCGGCG